TCAGGGAGTAGTCAGACCTGGGATATGGCTACTGCTCCACGGATTCAGAAGTCGCAATCACCTTGAAGCACTTCGGGGTACAGCGTACCTTGGTCTCTGTGACAAAAGTTCTTGACCATATCCTCATCGGCCTTATTCGACTCTGTCGCTCTCGGTTGCTTCGACGGACACTTAGCAGGAGGACACCGCAATAATGACGGTAGTTCTTCGAGGTTCGGACGTCTCGGTCCCGAGATGGGCATCCCGATCGTCGTAGCTTGTTCCGCTCACATGGCACAATTGGCTGGTATAATCAGAACTTGGCCATGCCGATTATGACCAAGCAATGAAGGACAGCTATTATATCTCAAAATCGGCCCACAACGGAGTCCCGACAACCACCCCATTTCTCGGTAGGACTCGGTACGGAATTGTGCGCCACTATTGCTCTGATCCACTGCCGTTGGCATGGAGATTCGGGGTTATTCTCGCGCAAGCATCGCCGTAGCTGCATAAGGGTGGCAATGGCACTTGTCGACTATGTCGCTGGATATGCACGGCCTTCAACGGGTGGGCGCATAGATCGGGGTCTTTCTGGATCAAGGGATCAGGTAGCTCATCACCATTGGGCAAGGCCTTGGCCTGGGCGATTTTCTTGGCAAAAGCGATAGTGGACTGGAAAGCACCGACACGGCCGATCCGAACTGTCACGGATACCAAGAGGATTTCCTCGCCATATATACGGCTACATCTACAATGACGACATGGTATTCCTCAATCAGCGTTTCACCACCATAGGGCCCGCACTGTATTGTCTGGTCGTCTTTATTTCGGGTCCTCTAAGTTAGATTTACGAGCGGCGAATCTCCACAGAGCTTTTGACATACTGCTACCCGAATTAGCTAGAGGGCGAATATCTTTGGTATTATCCCCCTCAGGACCCTAGGCCAACAAGCCCACATTTGATCCGTACAAGGCCTTCGGTCTCATCATCCACCTCCCATTCCTGATCACCAGTCCCTAGCGCTTGGTCCACATGAGTGCCATTGACTTTTGCTAATTGGGGCGTGCGGCTGGAAAGAAGAGGCACTGGGTGGAGAGGATAGGTAGTGCGTGCTATGAAGTATCATGTGGGCCGAAACTGTTATCTAGGTTCTTGGGTTGCCGCGGAGGAGCTTCTCTGAGTAAGCTAGTTCTGTTCGCCAATGCATAGGCTAGATATCGCTGATCTGGAAAACCGCTCACTGAAGCTAAGTAGTGGCCTCTACATCAAATCAAGCGATTCGGGACAAGGGCCCGTCGGAGTTGGTTATTTCACAAGTACGAATGGAGGCTTTTGAGAACTCTCAAGTGAGTGGGGATTTATTTCCATTGGTATACGCATCACAAGCATCGTCTCCGCAGTTCATATCAAACGCCCGGCCATGCTGAAGTGAGAACAAAGGAGAGAAAAAATGTGCTTCCAGTTCCTGATGACGATGGCTGGTGGCATGGTATTTTACAGGTTACTTGTCGGAACAGGGTCCCCGACACCCTGTTGACAGTGTAATATTTTCCCTCTTTCCATCGGTACACACATGCCTGATGGCAATGCAATGGAGTCCCTCTTGCAGACGGTTTCATACTCTGGTCTATACCCTTCCCTAAAGTCTATAACCGTCTATTCCTCTATGGTGGTTTTCCCCATCGCACGTATTGAGACGCGACTCGATGCCAATGACACAGCGGCCGGGTTTCTCGAATTGCTCATTCACACCCCCAAGGGGTGTGAATATCGGCCTCCATAAAGGCGAATATTAAAGTGTTTAAGTCTGATGCCCCAATTAGCATTCATTCCAAGGTGTGGATGTCAGTATGCAAGGGGAATACGTACGAACTTGGCCATGAGGGCAACCATGAGATCGAAAAGACCAATAGCTTCCACGAAGGCAAACCCCAGAATGGCGTATGAGAAAAGTTGGCCACGGAGGGCAGGGTTGCGGGCGACACCGTTGAGAAGGGCGGCGAAGACGAGACCGATACCAATACCGGCACCAGTCAGACCAATGGCGGCAGCACCCATACCCAAGTTCTTGGAGACCTCAACCATGGCCTGAGCGATCTCGGAAGAGTAGGCACGGCGCTGGAAAGCCTGGCGGGTGGTGGCGCTCATGATCTTGGAGATCTGCTGGCGCTTAGCGGCCTGGAAAGGGGTAGCATTGTCTATAAGGGGGGCATGGTTAGATCACGGCTTCCCGGCTACGATGAATCGGCGATTGAAGGAGCTCGATCATGACGAATTGAGATCTCGCGCGAGGACGTACTGGTGATGGTGCGCTTAGCGACAGTGTTGGCGAAAGAAGCACGGAGGGCAGGGCGAGCGACCTTGGTGCCCATAGAGGCAAAGGCGCGAGAGGCAACAATGCGAGCGGAGGCCATTGTAATGGATGTGGAGGTGGATGTGGATGTGTGGTTGGCGATGGGAAGTGGGAGATGTTGAGGGATGCGATGAAGGGACGGGAGAGTGAGCTGATGGAAAAACAGATAAGAGCTTGGAAGAAGGGGAAGAGAAGCTTGCTGACGGTGCGGCGGGCGGGAGAAAAAGTTTGCAAGAGCTCTAAGGAAAAGCCCGAATAGTTGTTCCGGGTTTGGGCATTGACCACCAATCGTGTTATCGACACCGTGTCTGAGGGAATGAAGCTGGACTGTGGGCTTGGGGCAACCCACACGAATGGCTACACAATGAACAGTAACTACAAAGTTACAGGTTGCGGGAACACACCTCTTCGCTCTGGCTTCTATCGGAGGCTACACTACCCAAAGGAGACAAGGCTGACGGGTATCATTATTCCTGCCATACTGTGGCTTACAGGGGTTCGGGGATTATCGGGTGCGGCGCTTGTGTACTGTTTATTGCGCGCAACCTCGTCGCTCTTGGCAGAACTAGCTTTGCGGCTTTTTCCCATCAGTATCAGCCGGGAACATGATTCAACACGACATAACCAGCATCATCGCCCTAGGTATCTCAACATCTCAACATCGAAAGTATCCCTTCCATAATCAGGGCACCATACACATACACTCACAGGAGCTCGACACAGAAAGATGCGAGCTCTCAACTACTCGCAGAATGGCCATGCCTGTCGGGTAGGAGGAGACGGTGTGAAAGGGCCTGTATACAAGAAGAAAGAGATGAGGACATCAGGGTGAAGCTCCATTGACTAAAGCGGCCCCCACTTAGTCCTGGCTCGTGGATAGCAAACATGGGACCCAGCTAGCGTTGAAGCTCGCTCATAGGTAAAAACAGTTGGTGGAGTTTGTGCGACGATAAGGGTGAGACAGCTGACACCACAAAAAAAGTGAGATCAAAAAACAGTATAAAGAGGAAGACACATCCTCGTCGTGGCGGTCGTGACAATGACCATTGCTTCTCCGACAAAACCACAACCTTTTTCCCTGCGTGCTCCCGCGAGTCGCTATACTATGCCCTACCTACCCATGCTACAAGCAGGTAAAATGCGAGTCAAGTCAGCCTCGCGTTTTTATCATGTTAGCTGTTAGCCTAGGTAGGTATCCCACCCACGAAGCCAAGGTGGCCCTACAGGTTCACGGCATTCCGTATGTGGCCTATTTCAAGGAATAGCGAAACGAGCCAATCAAAATTCGGCAATCGTCACGAAGTTCAGGTAGCCCTAGCCAGCAATCGACACGCTTGCCTGCCTGCGTCTACGTATCCGGCAGGATGTAGGTACATACCTCGCCAGCTCCCTACCAGCCGGCATATAGCAGGGAATGGAGTCATTTACGGGGCTGCACCCAGTGTACATGTGCTTAGGTACTTGGTACTCATCCTACACTTCAAAAGATGAAGCTACCTATCAGAAATGGGAAGAGCCTTCGCCGATTCCAGGAGCCTGGTGAAATCAATCGATTTGTGGGTACGTTAATGAACCAGATTGAGAGAGATACCTACGAGAAGAGGAGGATTTGTTCCAATCATAGGAATTTGGAACTTCGTCTTGAGCAGTGGGCAGTAAGTTGTATAAGCCCGATAGAGATATGCGACCAGCTTTACGGTCAGGATCCATTTTGCAGGTAGGTATTGCGAATTAGGCGACGAGACTACGGTAAGAATTGAGTGTAACCGTCCGTCATTACCTGCCAGTCGCACGGTTCCAAGTGCTGTTGATATCTCTCGAGCTCGTTCCACGTAGGTACCTACCTAGGTACTTAGGGTACTTGAAACGATGCGGCGTAAAATTTTTTCCTCGCAGCTGACATGAAATGACGGTAAGATCTTATGTGCCGCATGCAGAACAGAGCAGGGGGCGGGAGCAAATCAGTACCTTGTACATGGCATCCGTGGCATTATTGTCGGCTGCCATTGGCCGGCAATGGGTGCTTGTTTCATCTTGGCTTAGTGTGCCGGCGCATCTTATCTTAGTGAAATATTACCTAGGGTACAAAGTTCCTAGCTATAAATTTACACCACGCGGTTAATCAACAACTTACATGCAGGTGTTCGCGGCGCTTCACAATACGTTACCTAACCTACATGTAAGTACTGCAGACTGAATGCAGGTACCTACCTACCTTAGTTAGGTATATGCAGGTAATATAACTAGTAGTAACAGTCTCTCGTGCAAAATGCGTCGAATTCGTCCCTTATCATGGCATAGTAATCGCCGAGAATTCAGAAAGGATTCAATCTAACTCCTGCGACCAAGGCTGCGGTGAGGTGAATACTGTGTACTTACTTACATACACTCTAAGTGGTAGGTAGAGACAACTAGGTATATTGTGCGTTGCTACAAACATTGAAGGGAATCAATCCTCTTTTCCCCCTCCCATGATAGACTTTTAGCGAAACGGATACACCCATATGCAGGGACGTACCTTACCTCTATAACCTAGCCTAGCCCTAACACCTAGGACAAATAGGGTCAAGACCACTTCTTCACTTCACTCAACGAACAACTTGCAAAAAAAGTAACCATCTCCAGGTTATGTATATACTACACACCTCTCAGCTTCATTAATGTAGTTCAGCACGGGACTCGAACCCGCAATCTTCAGTATGCTCCGTGGAGAAAAGCCGACCGGAAACTGACGCGTTGCCATTACGCTAACCGAACGCCCTTGATTCGACGGGCCAAGATAAGTAGTTATCGTCGCTTTCTTGGATTGGGGGACGGGGGAAGAGGGGGGTTCTTTACATTCAGCGCTACGTAGCTACCTGGTCTTACCTAATAGTTGTAGGCTAGATAGACAATATCACATAGTGTCAATGATGTTCCGAAACGGGATGCCTGTGCTTGCGAGGGTAGGAGGGGGGAGGTCTAATAGTCTTGGTTGGCAGTCGAGATGAAATATACTGGGTAGGTAGGTGGGTTAGGTATTTTCTGCCGGCTTCAGCACTGTCTGATACTGACGGCTCGTTGGCCGTGATATACTTTCTAGATACTCACCTGTTTTGAGTCGTGTGGGGAAGCGGCGTGGCGTGAAAGAAGGCCTCTGCCTTTTAGAAAAAAGCCATCTCCGTGACTTGGAAAGCTTACTAGCGAAAATGGCATCTAGACTTTATCTCATCCCTTGGTGTGAGGAGCCGACTGGTTCCCAAATCATCGCGATTCTGATATTCTGAGACGAGACTTAGGACAATAGCAGCAGCGCTATCTATCGTTCTCACTTCGACCCGTAGTTGAATATCCGTCACAGCTGCCGAGTTCCAATCATCGCTATTAGTAGCCCCCGAGGCCCTCTTACCGAACCCTATCATTGATTGTTCATTGGCTTTCTCTTGCTATAATGAGTAAATGTGTTGCTAGTAGCGCCGTCCCCCGGCGCCGCGCGTCTCGGCTATGCGGGGCGCATTTGGAAGAAAAGACAAGACAAAGACGGACCGGCTCGGCACTCCGTCGGCTATGCGGGTCATGGAACACTACTTACCTACCGACTAGGCCTAGGCTAGAATCGAGCTGAATATCGCTTGTACCGTCTAAGCCAGTATTTTTTTCCTTGATGGGCATTTCCGAGTGCAGGCGTTCCTCGGGTGGCGGGCCGGATCGAGACACGGCCGTTGCCGTGACTTACAACAGCATCCCAAGCCCTAGTTCTATTGAAGGAACTAAATCCACTGGTTCCCGCCGATGCGGGCGTGGACCGGGGGAAACCGGCTCATCGTCCGGCGCCGCTATTGGGGGGTCCCGGGCCCAAGTGTGCACGCAACCGGGTAAGCGCTTCGGATAGCATTTCGCCAGAGGCCACTACTCTAGCTAGGCTAAGGATGGCCTATCCTCCAGTGAACGAAAACGGCCAACTAGATGGTCGTGCGTGTAACTGAATGATATAAACCGAATCTTTCTGCCGCGTTGGATACTAACCCCCGTTGAGTAGTTGGTTTGTTTCGCCATGCAAGGCCTATTTTCCACATTGAAAAATCCTCCTTTCTTGGTCAGCTGTTCTACTTCTTCGATTTGACAGTTCGAAACCTAATTTCTTTAGTAAACTTGCAAGTCATAAGAGTGGTTTAGCTAAGTTGAAAGTTGCAAGGAAGATAAAATTGCAGGCAGATAGGTCAAGTAGATTAGGTAGGTAAGTATTAATAGGACTGGGTGAGTTTACCGTCCCAGGGCGCGGAGGCAGCATATACCGTGGCTAGTGCTAAGGCCAAGACTGTTTCCATCTAGATCTTGATATAGCATCAATCTAGGACTGTTCGGTACAGCACCTCTGGGGTTGCGTAAGAGTTAAAAAGAAATGTCGAGGGGCGCAGTCGTTCAGAGTTGGCGCCAGCAATGTCCTGAAATGTGCGACAGGGGTCTCCGCATGTGTCCGCGGCCTATCGCAATGGCAACGCCGCGATGACTGCGGAGTGCATGATCTCTTCCCAATCAACGTCCAAGGCATACAGGCAAGCTACTAGTAAAATGCGCCCTGTCGATATTGCCTCGTTCAAGCTCGTTGGCATATAGATTGTCAACGCCAAAGTCCTTGAATTCTTTTTCTGCTCTGATAGTTTTCCGGCCTTTTTTGGCCACCTTCTGCAATAATACAGAGGAGAACGTGACTTCGTGTGTATGTGATGGCCGAAACCTTTGCGCTTCTTTCGGCCGCGGCCGGCTTGGCTGACGTATCTGCCAAAGCCTCATTGAAGCTGCGCGGTCTCGTGCTGGACTTCAAAAATGCCCCCACGTTAATATTGGCGCTGTCTAACGAGGTCGCGGAAATCAGTGTTGTCCTAGATAGAGTGAATGAGTCGCAGCGAGCTGTAAGAAGCCTTAGCGACTCACAGCACGACGCAGCTTTCCTCACTTCCCTTGACAGCCAACTCAATAATGCTCGAGCTATTATCGCAAACCTTGATTCTCTTACAACTGTGCTTAGCTAAGGGAACCGAACAAACAAGGGATTCCGATGGCTCCAGCAGAAAAGTCATGCCATGGAGTTGAAGGGTAGGCTGAACGAAATACGCGAGAAGATCAATGATTTACTAGTTACCCACTTCCCGTGAGTATACACGCGGCGCCCAGGCGTCTCGCCGGTAAAAAAAATTTGCGTTTATTCACTCACTTACCTACTGCGCTCAGTTCTTTGGGAAGTCGCATCAAACTCGAGCTTCAAGATGTCCGCGTAGGCATGCAGCAGGCCCAAGCGGCAGCTCAAGCAGCTGTTCAGGACACCAACAGCAACCTCCAGACAAACAACCAGTGGCGAACTCGTTGCCATGCGCACTACCATGGTTCAACAGCAGACCATAATAAGTTCAGAGATGCGGGCGATACAAGATATCATGTCTGACCAGGCCGTCGAAGCTATCGGTCACAAGCAGGAAGTTGGTAACCAGCTCTCGGCGATCCATAACACCGTACAATCTGGATCCCACGCAGTCTATCGCATCGAAGCGGAGCAGAGGCGGCATTTTGAGGCTACACAGGCCATTCAGATGGCCATCCTAACAGAGCTCGCCGCCCAAAGCAACGCGTCGCTGGAAATGGGACGGATTGGGCCCAGGATCCAACCAGCTCCGTCTGACAACAATCTCAACCCCGTGATTTCCTTCTCCATGCGGCTCCCGGGATCTTACTGCGAGTATGGCTGTCGATGTAGATGCCATTTGCCAGCACAGCCTAGCATGTCGTTACAGATCCCGCCAATGCTGCGAGCAGCAGTTGGGTATTTATTTCTCGGCTACGCGGGCTACCCTTCGGCCTCTTCCCGCTGCAACGTTGATTCCTGCGCGAAAGGAAAGTACATGCGATTGCAGGTCACGTACTGTTTCCCATTTTGGTGGTGCCTGCGCTACGTGATGCATGCCTTCGTAGAGGCCTCTACATCGGGAACCCTCACATTCGCACTTGTTGCGCGACGAAGAATGCCGTACGAACATGGAAGCATCCTCTACGAGTCATACGCGGGAAGTACGGTAACTCTGGGACACATCCTTCGAGATAAAACAGGGTGCATCCATGACGTCTACTACGGTGATGGGCGTTCTGCACTTCGATTAGCATTAAACAATGATAGTCCCGAGGGACTGGAAATTATGAAGCTGCTCCTTCAAAATGGAGCCGATCCAGATCAAGATGACGATCATGGAATATCTCCTCGGCTGTACGCCTCTCATTCAATCCTTTCAAAGAAACATTCGCCAGGCCATATTCGTGCGTTGGAAGGTTTATTCCCCCTTTCTTCGTCTGAACCGGAAATGAGAGCGGCCTTTACATGTCTTGTACAGGTATGGTGTAGTGCTGACGAGGGAGCTGACGATAAAGAAAGTGATAAGAAAAACGATGATGATACAAGTGACGAGCAGGATTCCTTCTACGACGCGGTCGAGTATTCGGGTGCCGACGAGAGTACTTGATCAACATGATGAGAAATAGGTAATGACTAACTTTTATGTATCCACCACAGTGTACCCCATTCACAAATTGAATAGTTTCATAACGATCGTGATACCAGCTTGACGCGGAGATGTGCAAAATCTTAACTAGCTGGAGAATTGGGATCAAAGGTCTCTGCAAAGTGGTCACCATGTTGGCTTCACTTGGTTTGAATCAGCCGCAAACTTGAAGTAGACCACTAGCCCATTCTTCCAACTGCTTTTGATAGTCTTGTTCATGTTCTTTTGGTTTCCTCGTCGGCTTGGGTCGCTTCCGTTCGCCGCCAAACAGTTGCTGAAGCGCAGGGCAATAGTTCTCTCAAACTTGGGCTAGTTGCTTGGTCGTTAGGGTTAGGGACGTTGGAGAAATCTTGTGATGTAGCCATCTTAGATATAATTCTCAAGTCATTTGGAGAGACACTTCGTCTTTGAATAGCATACGCTTCTGGCACAGATAACTTGAGAGTAATTGGTAGCTCCTTGCTGGAGTCTTTTAGACTATGTTGGTTCTAGTTCTCTTAGCCGAGGGAAAAATTTGTGAGAATAGGAGTCTTAGATTCTACCAGTAATATACCTTCGTATTATCTGGAGGGAACTCGTCACTTGGCGGATTGGTTTATCGGGCGGGACGGCGGACGAGATTATCGGCCGGCGGAAACCCGGAGGCGAGTCCACCCTTCTTCCAGCACACGGCAGGCATGTCCTTGGACCTCGAGGCTCGAGCACCCATATGCCGCACAGGTTCTCGGCGGAATCCCGGTGGACGAGTTGCTCTAGCTGCTACCTAGGGATACGGGGCTGTCTTGATGCGGGGGATGGAGTGGTCCTGTATACTGCGAGTGGATTATGTGGTACCTTAAGCATTCTCAGGTAGGCCCTGACAAAACCCAACCCATGGGTGCTTGGCGGGCGCCCAAGTAGACCCAATGGGTTAGTACAAAAGCCCATGGGCTGCCAAGAACCCATTAGGTTGCCAAGAGCCCATTGGGTTGCCAAGAGCCTATTGGGTTGTCTGGTTGGGCCCCCATGGGCGCACTAAGCTATGGGTTCTTGGCATTTGGGTTGGGTTGTCAGGGCCTATTCTCAGGAGACACCTGCGGGTGTTTTGTCGTCGCTTGCTTCCAGAGATTGGCCATTCCCGGTTGCGGAGGCTTGTTCTTCAGTTTGTTGGCGCATGGCTACGTCCTTGAATAATCCTAGTAGGGAAGGGCGGGCTTTGCTTTATTTTGGTAAAACTTGCCTTGATGCTGC